GGCACCTGCTGTGCACCAGGCTCCGTTCTAAGTCCTGCGAAACAACAGTGAGCAAAACGGGTAAACCCAAAGCTGGGCCCCCATTCCAGGGAGGGAGGCGGATGAGAGAGAGGGAAGGTGGGTACCCAGACCGACTAGGGGGAGGAACAGAGCAGGGGAGGGAGCTCCAGTTTCAAAGAGGGAGACCAGGGAGGGTGATGTTTAAGCCAGGACCTCGTGCATTCAGGGTGTCCCTGAGAAACAGAAGCTGTATCTTGTTATATGTCTCATATAGATCTATTATATATATCCTATTATATATCTCATTGTATATATAGCTTATTATATACATCTTATATATAATATATAATGTATGTTATAATATATTAATATATGATAACATGATATATTACAATTATAATATATAATTATATTATAGCATATATATTATATGTACAGACATTCCTCAGAGATATTACAGGTTCGGTTCCAGACCACAGTAAAGTGAATGCCACAATAAAGTGAGTCACACAAATTTGTCGGTTTCCCAGTGCATATAAAAGTTATGTTTACACTATACTGTAGCCTATTAAGTGTGCAATGGCATTTTGTTTAAAAAAAGTACATACTTTAATTTAAAAATACTTTATTGTTAAAACATGCTAACCATCATCTGAGCTTCAGCGATTCGTGATCTTTTTGCTGCTGGAGGGTCTCATAAAAAGTGCAATAAAGCAAAGTGCAACAAAACGAGCTGTGCCTGTATATCACATACATAAGTATGTATGTTTAGCTTGAGTAGGAAAAACACCCACTTCTCCTGGTCACCAGATGTGTTGGGGTCCCCCACACCAAGCAATTCTATGACACCAGCTGGGGGTGCTACAATTCAACTCAACTATCTACCTGGAAATAGCATCAGAGCACACAGGTTAAGGGCTCAGTCCCACGAGACTGTCCCCACCACTTCAGACACCAATTGCAAGTCCAGGTTGCCACCTGTGCTTCTGACCAACTGGCTATAAATCAGAGGTTCCCACAACCCCCTCCTAGCGTTCGACTAATTTGCTAGAGTGGCTCATAGAACTCAGGGGAACATTCTACTTACTAGATCACCGGTTTATTATAAAAGGATATGATAAAGGATTCAGATGAACAGCTGGATGAAGAGGTACATAGAGTGAGGTCTGGGAGGGTCCTGAGTGCAGGAGCTTCTGTCCCCGTGGAGGTGGGGTGTGCCACCCTCTCAGAATGTGGATGTGTTCGCCAACCCGGAAGCTCTCCCAACCCCATACTATCGGGATTTTATGGAGGCTTCCTCACGTAAGCATGATGAATTGTTAACTCCATTTCCAGCCCCTCTCCCCTCTCTAGAGAATAGGGTGGGGGGAGGGGCAGCGCTGTGTTACTGAAAATCCCACGCTTCTAATCACAGCTTGGTCTTTCTGGTGACCAGCCCTGATCCAGGAGCCCACCCAGAGTCACCTCATTAGAACAAAAGACACTCCTATCACTGAGGAAATTCCAAGGGATTTAGGAGCCCTGTGCCAGGAATCGGCGGCAGAGACCAAATTGTTTCCTAGGGGGACACAAACATTCAGTCTATGGCAACCCTGTGTTCTGTAGTCTTTATGGAATAAAGACTCATTTATTCCCCACAACCAATGCATAAGGTGAGGACTAGTATTACCCCTATTTCACAAATGAGGAAATAGAGCTTCAGAGAGGTTAAGAACCTGCCCAAAGGCACAGAGCAAGTGAAGTCAGAGTCTGGATTTGAACCCAGGCAGTCTGGCTTCAGAGCCTTTGTTCTTATTGGCTCCCTTATCCTGCCCCTTTTTCTTCATCTATCAAATGAGGGCATCTTTTCTCGTTGTAGTAATAGTAACAGCACACACTCAGTAAGATTATTGACCACTTACTCTGTGCCAGCTTCCATTCCAAATTTTTTACAAGTATTATTTTGATGGCTCAAGTAAATTATTTAACATGATAAAAATATGATCTACCTTCCTCCTGGGGGTCTCCTGAAGTCTGCATTCGTGGGCTGGCCATCACCGGCTCTGCCTCCACGTGGCCCCACTCTCCAATCCCAGCACCCTCATTTCCCGGCCGTGACCTTGCTCAGGTCTCTGAGCCTCTCTAGGCCTCACTTTCCATCTGTCAATTTGGATGGTGTGAAGAAAACACCATCGTTTGTGTCAAGTCCTTGGCACACCCCAAGCATCCAATACACATTAACATTCAGGATAAAGTGCCCCCTCCACCCCCTGATGAAAATGGTGTTGAATTTGCGATCACTTCCCCGGGACCCTTGGGGATGAACTCTCCTCCTCACTCAGTCTCTGTCCAGCGTCCGCTCCACAGCCAGGCCTTCCTGACCACCCACCTAAAGCCACCTCAGGCCTCACCCAGCTCTATCGCCTTCTGCTGCTCTGTTCTCCTCCGCGGCCCAACACCGTATTTTACCCTAATTTACCTCATTTAGCGTCTGTCTCCTGCAGTAGAACAGAAGCTCCATCACGGGCGGAACTCACTTGCTCGGTGCTGGACCTCCACTGCCTGCTTCTGGAACTGCGCCTGGTACTCAGCAGATGCTGTTGAACGAGTGGCCTCTGCTAACTCCCCTGGGGCTTCACTGTCTGAGGGCTCAGTGACCCCATCCCTTCCCACCTCCCAGGGACCAGGTGGCGGTGAGGGAATCAGGAGCTGTGGTTCCTTCCTCTCTCCCCCACATCCTCTCCTGCCTTATGGGAACTGGACAGGGCATGGAAAGGTCCAGGGGAGAGACCCAGGGTCTTGGCTCATGAGTCGGGGTGAAGATGCAGCAGAGTGTGGACATGGGGTGACGCAGATGATGAGATGAGGAAGCACAGGAGAAGGTGGAGACAGACGCTGCTGGCACAAGACCCGCCTCTCAGCTCTCGGAAGGGCCTAGAAGGTTACAAGCTTCCATGTGCCCATTTTATTGGAAGACCGTCTTTCGTGCCCCTTCTTGACTGCACGATCTGACTTAACAGGTCTGTCAGAGTGGAGCCCAATGTCATCTCCACGTCATCCCACATGACAGGACGTCGCCTAGGTGACACTTCCCAGCCCCCAAAAGTGTGGATGCAGCCAGCTGCCAACGGAATGAGGCAGGAGTGATGTGGGCCACTGGTGTCCAGGTGCTAAGAGAGTGGACTTACCGCCTCCAGGCCGTCTCCCTCTGGGCTGCAGTTGGAACAAACACGTGGTGGCAAGTGTCTCTGGGGACGGCATAGCAGTGGCATGGAAGGAGCCTGTGTCCTAAACGACCCCATGGAGCGTGGATTGGGCAGGAGTGGGTTTGGGATCTTTTTGTTTAAGAACGAAAGAGGGAGGAGAAGGAGAGGGAGGGGAGAGAGACAGAGAGACAGCCAGAGACAGACATGGAGGGAGAGGGAAGAGTGGGGGCTTTGTTCTCTAAGGCTCTGTGCCTGTGGGGCCACTTGTGACAGCAGCTCTGCCATCCCCGCCTGGCCAATCAATGGACTCTGGAGGTATCATTACCCTCATTGGGATGATGGGGAGCCCGCAGCACCAAGGGCTCAGATGAAACTTGCACAGGGCCACACAGCTGGGGGCTCACCATCCTCTTCCTCTTCACTTGCCTTCCGTCCAAATGCGTGTCACACTTGTCGTCACTCTCACAAGGTCGGCCACATGTGCCCCTGTGGATTTAGTCACTACAAGTCTGTACACCCCCCCCTCCCAGCCACCCCGCAGCAAGTGGCCTGCGTGACATCTACTTTGAGGACAGGAATGGAAGTGGGGAGGGAGGCCTATGAGCCACATCAGTACAAGCAGACGTGAGGGGGGACCTCGCAGTCACTCTGGGCCCCCTCTACCTGGCCCCAGGGACTGGCCCGCACTGCCCTGCCCCCACCCTGTGGCTGGGTTAAGGGGGTACAGAGGACAGACAGGGCTGGGGGTCCTTCTGGTGACCAGGACAATGACAGACTTCCCAAAGAAGAGGTCACAAGTGGCAGACCTCACTTCATGACAACAGCCAGAACAGGTGTCAGATTTTAAACCCCATAGCACAACGACACTGGGGCTGCCTTCTCTGCATCAGCCCACTTCTCCCAGATTGTGAGCTGGGTGGAACTGACCCCAAGCCCACGTCAAGGGTGGACGGTGCTCCAGGCCCATTGGGGCAATCATTTCCATCCCCTCTCCACGCTCCTGTCTCAGAGAGGAGGAGGAGCCCAGACCTGGACACACGGCACTTCTCTGGTCACAGTGATTAGTTCGTGGGTGAGTCCAACAGAAGGAAGCTTAGGTTCCTTTGTCATTGACTGGAGGAGGTCCATCTCCACGTGGATGTGACTGAGAATATGCACAATCAAGAGGAGCTGCTGGAAAGCACCATGAAACCACGTGGGAAGCCAGCCTGAGGATGAGGCCAACACGCAAAAGGGGAGCAAGAGAATCAGAGAACCACAGCTATGACACTGATGCCGCATGTCTGGATCAAAGCCACCCTGATGCCCACACGTTTGCCAGACATAAGAAGAACTGCCCGCCTTGTTTATGCATGCCTGACTGGTTGCTTTTTCTACTAGGAATGCAAAAGTGTGCTTACAGATATAAAGGATTTCTTAAAATGAATTACCATCAGTGTTAGGAAGTGTGGGGCATTTGGAAACGCCAGGACATTCATGACAAGTGGCATCAAATGTTAAAATAAAAAGGGTGGTGTAAAAGGCCCCAGAGAAAGGAGACTCTGGGGGAACTCTACATGCAAACGAAGCTTCAGGGCGGCTGCAGGCAACTCACTCGGAGTTACCGTTAAGTTCAAGTGCGGAAATAACTACAAAAACAGATGGTCTGTGCTCACATGTGGACACTGATTAAATCCAGTAAGTATTTAAACCCGAACATCAAGCCTGTTGGTATTTACTTGCCCTCCACCCTCCCCATGATCATTTAAACTGACTTTGACAGGACAACCCCTACCTGTATCTTTCGCACCAATGACTGTTTAAAATGACATTGGCCTCCCTTAATTAAAAGTTTTATTTTTAAAAAATTTAACAGACCACAATGAGAAACTTTGGCATCTGAAGCAGTTACTGTTATTTGCTAACTCTGAAAAAAAGTTTCTTCTCCTCATAACCATGTGCCGACTCCCACGGCTTATCAGCTTGGGGGCTTCTGGCAGGTACTGTGGGGAGACTGCCCGGGGCTGGGACGCGGGAAGGCGAGAGGGGCCCCCTAGCTCTTACCTCCTCAAGGAAACTCACAGAAGGTGACAACCTGCCATCTGGACCAGATGGAGGGTGTGTGTGACAAAGGGAGAAACGTCCCCATGGTCAGTTATCAAGTCCCCCTCCGCCTCTCCCCACCCCCACTTCACATGGAGGGAAGGGAGACCCAGAGCCACTAAGCGCTTTCTCCAAGCTCTTACCACCACGTCCTCCGAGCTGGGTCCGGAGCCCTGACGCCCTGCGTCCCTGGAGCTCCCGTGAGTTACCAGCCACCATGAGCCCCACCGTGTCCCCAAATACATTAGACCTGTCGGGACTCGCTTCCCACTGGGGACGTGCGGACGCCGCGTGAGGAGGGGGCGGTGTGAGCAGCGCCTGTCCACGGCCCCCACGTCCGCAAAGCGCGACTGGGGCGGGACTCCTCCGACTGTGCTGCCCGTGGGCTCCAGCACGAGAAGCTCGCTCTGGCCGCCCGGACTAAGGGCCCCCCGGGGGCAGACCGCGAGGCCCGCGCCCCTAGGTGTGGATCCTCAGGTGCCGCGTGAGGTTGGTGTTGCGGCTGAAGGTCTTGCCGCACTCGCCGCAGCGGTAGGGCTTCTCGCCGGTGTGGATCCTGCGGTGGACGGTGAGCGACGAGTTCTTGATGAAGGCCTTGCCGCACTGGCCGCACCTGTAGGGCTTCTCGCCGGTGTGGATGCGCTGGTGCTCGATGAGGTACGCGCTCTGACCGAAGGCCTTGCCGCACTCGCCGCAGCGGTACGGCCGCTCGCCCGTGTGGCCGGTCTGGTGCACGACGAGGGACGAGCGCCCCGTGAAGTGCTTCTTGCAGATGTAGCACTCGTAGGGCTTCTCGCCCGTGTGGATGCGCTGGTGCTGCGTGAGCGACGAGTTCTTGCTGAAGGCCTTGCCGCACTCGTTGCACTCGAAGGGCTTCACGCCGATGTGGAAGCGCTGGTGCTGGATGAGGTAGGAGCTCTGGCTGAAGGCCTTGCCGCACTCGTTGCACACGTACGGCTTCTCCCCGGTGTGGTTCCGCTGGTGCAGCGTGAGCGAGGAGCTCTTGTTGAAGGCCTTGCCGCACTCCTTGCACGAGTACGGCTTCTCGCCGGTGTGCGTCCTCTGGTGCTCCGTCAGGTGCATGTTCTGGCTGAAGGCGCGCCCGCAGTCCCCGCACACGTACGGCTTCTCGCCGGTGTGTGTGCGCTGGTGCACGACGAGGTGCATGTTCTGGCTGAAGGCCTTGCCGCAGTCCCCGCACGCGTACGGCTTCTCCCCGGTGTGCACCCGCTCGTGCTGCGCGAGGGAGGAGGTCTTGCGGAAGGCCTTCCCGCACACGGCGCAGGCGTACGGCTTCTCGCCCGTGTGCGTGCGCTGGTGCACCACGAGGTTCATGCGCTGGCTGAAGGCCTTGCCGCAGTCCCCGCAGCCGTACGGCTTCTCGCCGGTGTGCACCCGCTGGTGGATGGTGAGGGACGAGCGCTCGACGAAGTGCTTCCCGCACACGGGGCACTCGAAGGGCTTCTCCCCGCTGTGGATCCTCTGGTGCTTCACGAGCGACGAGCTGCGGCGGAAGGCCTTGCCGCACTCCCCGCAGTCATAGGTCCTGGGGGGAGGGCTGAGGGCCGTGTCGCCCGAGAAGTCCTTTCCACGCATGGCAAACGCACCGACCCCCGCTTCTCCTGGATCGCCGGGTCCCGGGGGGATCAGGGTGGAGCTTTGGCTGATGAGGGCCTTGAACTCACGGCATTGGGGGGCTGACTCCCAGGAAGATCCCAAGTGCCCCAGACAGTCCCCTGCGTGTCTCTGCTGCCCCTCCGCCCGGTCACCCAGTGTCCACACTCCTTCACAGGCGGAACCCCAGCCACCATTCCTCGGAGGTCCTTCCGCGACCACCCCGACGGCCGGTCTGTCTTCCAGAACGTCCTCCCTCGGATCCGATTCTTTCATTTCAGGTCTAGTCTCCAAGTCTGGGGCAGGGGAAAGAGAAGACGAAATACATGTAGTTAACAATGCTGGGAGTCAGGAAGTCCGACACGGAGGGGTGGGGGGGACAGACAGGCACAGAGTGAGGAGCAGACCACAGCCTGCGGATCAGCGGGGAAGCAAGGAGCTGAGGCGGCAGAATCAACCTGCGAAGCCCAGCGAGCAAAGGGAACGAGAAATGTCCCTCGGGAGGGGGGTGAAGCAGCGGCCAGCAGCCGGGCTGGAGGAGAGAGACCTGAAGGGAAACCACAGGAGGGACGCCCGCCAGGCTTGGAGGGGGCGGGTCAGAGGCTCCCCAAACCCGAGTGAGGAGTTACTGCAACGGGCTCCTCACTTCCAGGGTTCATCCTGAAAATCCCCGACCAGATACGCCTCTCGAAGCATCGAGCATCGATTTTTATTAGAAATGATAAACTAACAGCTGACGTTTCTGGGGCACACGCTGGTTACCCTCCCTCCCCGTCCGTGTCCCCGCCCCCACCACCAGCTAAGCTTCCTCCCTCCCTGTCCTGCCCGCTGCCCCCTCACTCCCGCTTCCGCTGCCCGGTCCTGGAGCAGCAGGTGTCCCTCGGAGCTGGTGCCAGGCCCGCTTCTCTTTGCATATCCCTCCTTCCCGGTGATCACAGCCAGGCCGCAGCTTCCTTCCCCTCCTGCGTGCATCCTGTTAAATCTCCGCTTCCAGTCTGGGGGCTCTCCTGAGGTCCGGACTCTGTATCATCGACCCAACAGCTCCACTCCCAACATTTAAAAATTGTAAGATCTGGGCCGGCCCAGAGGCGCAGCAGTTAAGTTTGAATGTTCCCCTTCAGCGGCCCAGGGTTCCCCGTTTGGATCCTGGGTGGGACTTACACAGTGTTTGTCAAGCCATGCTGTGTGGCAGGAGTCCCACATATAAAGTAGAGGAAGATGGGCACAGATGTTAGCTCAGGGCCAGTCTTCCTCAGCAAAAAGAGGAGGATTGACAGCAGTTAGCTCAGGGCTAACCTTCCAATCAATCAATCAATCAATCAATAATCAAACAAACAAACAAACTGTAAGATCTTCAACAAAATCTCATAAAAAACAGGACGAGACGGCCAGGGAGTCCCCATTCCTATGAGACAACCATAAGCTGGAGTGGAGGCCACAGTTCCTGCTGCCTCATTTAAACCCCCAGCTGGCCTCACGATCACTTGAGTGTGAGACCTCCCTCCCCTAGGTCTTGCCAAGGGGGTCCGACTGCATTATCCTCTACATGCTGACACCTCCCGAATTTATGCGCCCAGCCCAGACCTCCTTTCTGAGCTCTGCTGACAAATATTCAAAGGCCGACTTGGCGTCCCTCTTGGATATTGCAAACCTAACATATTTGATATGAAACTTGTGATTTCAGAACTCCTGTCCCACAAAAAGCAATTAAAAAGAAAGAAAGGATCGTCAAAGAGACTTAGCAAAATAAGTCAGACAGAGGAGGCCCAACGCTGTCCAATTCCCCTCCCACGAGGCACCCAGGAGTCAATTCCCAGAGCCGGAAGCAGAAGGCGGTTCCCAGGCGCTGCAGGGGTGGGGGTCAGTGTTCAATGGATGGAGTTTCAGTTTGGGAAGGTGAGAGTTCTGGAGATGGATGGTGGTGGGCTGAACAATATGAATGTACTCGGTGCCACTGAACTGTACACCCAAAATGGTTAAAATGGTAAATTTTATGTTACGTATATTTTACCAAAAATTTTTTTAAAAAAAGACTAGTGGTCATCTTGATTCACCCCTTTCCTCCACCATCCAGACAGTTAACAAATGCCACTGGACACACAAAACAGCCTGAACTGGACCAAATCTCTCCGTCACCACTGCCAACGACCTAGTCGGCCACCACAGATTTCCCGCCCGCGCCTGCACCCTCGGCCTCTCCAACGCAGCCTCCACTCAGCGGTATGAGGATCCTCTTAGAGTCAGACCAAACCCTCCAGCGTCTTCCCAATGCACCGAGATCAAAGCCGATGCTTTCCCACGGCCCGTGGGACGCACCTCCCACCCGCCACCCTCTCCCACTCAGTTTCCGTCAGCCACACACACCCTGTAGTTCCTTTTTGCTCCCGTGTCCACACCAAGTTCTTCCTGCCTCAGGGCCTTTGCCCCTGGTGTCCCCCCAGCCTTCCCATGGGCGCTCATCTTTCAGGCCTCGGGTGGCATTCATCCTCCACAGGGAGGCCACCTCAGTGGTGGAAAGAAGGGCCCTCCTGCTAGTCTCTTGCCTGCTTCATCGTGAGTGCTCATTATGGCCCGTGGCAACTTTCATTCATCCCTTGATCTGTTTATTACCGGCTCCCCTGTGGGAAGTGAGCCCCAGGAGGGCAAGGAGCTTGCCCAGGCCAGTTCCTGCAAGAGTGCCTGGCACACAGAAGGTGCCAGGTAGACAGTTACAGAGCATCTGTACTGTGCCTGGCATGGCGCTAAGCAGCCTGCACGATCTCTTCATGATCCTGACGACCCTCCGTGAGTTGGGTCCTGTTGGGGATCAGACCCATTTTACAGATGAGGAAAGTGAGGCTCTGAGAACGAAGTCACACACTTCAGGTGACACAGCACATGGGAAGCAGAGCTGGGAATCATGCAGTCCAGAGCTACAGGCCCGAGGAGTCACTGTTTCGCCATGCGTCGTTTCCCCATCCAGGAGGAAAGGGTTTGGGAGACACAGTTGGAGAATGACCCCGGTTCAGTGATGTCAGGGCAGAGAGGGGCTTGGGGCATGAAGGCTGTGGGTGGGACAGGGTCACTTCTCAGTGGGAAGAAAGGAAAGGTGACAGTGGGTTGGGTTTGGGGCCAATGGGGTCTGAGACGCACCGGGGAAATAAACCAGCCAGTGGCTCAGAGATCAGAGTGCGCGGGGAGTCCTGGTTGTGCACACAGGTGGAAGTCTTTGAAGTAAATCCTAACTGGAGACGTCAGGACAGCTGGAGGCAGAAAGCCAGCAAAACTGGAGATTAAGGGGCAGGGGAAAGGCAGCAGCCTCCTTTTCACGGACTGAAACCCTTCTAGAGAGACTATCAGCAAAAAAGCCAACACCCAGCTCTCACCGGTGAAAAGCTGTGAACACAGAGCTCGACATCAGCCAGATGAGAACCACCCCACCACGCGGCTTTTCACCAAGCAGACTGGCAAAAAGCAAAGTGTTCAATGCCCTCTGTGGCGGGCGATGGTGCATGGACGCGGGCCTTCCTGCCCACAGTCAAGGGAAATGTTCACAATTTCTGCAGAAGCCTGTTTGGCAAAAAGCTGCAAACGTGTGAAATGCTATTCATTCCTTTTGGTCTAAATGTGGGTCTATCTTTTTTCACGGTGCTAGGTTTCTTGTTCTTCATAGTTTGTTTTTCCATATTCTGTATTTCTACAATTGTTTCTGATCACAAAGTAATTCACACTTGTTATTAAAGCATCAAACATCAAAAAATAACTTCTGAAAGGGAAGTCTCTGTAATCTCACCCATCTGAGTTAGCAGTTTGGTGTATAGTTTTAGAATTTTTTTCCCCAGTGCATACCTTTTGAACAAATACACACAACACACCTGTACACACACACACATATGAATGCACACCTTTTTTCTAAAACGAGGCTTCCAGCCAAGATAAGAGTGTCAGGGACAAGATTTCCCTCCAGCCTACAACAGGGAAAAAAAGGGCAAAATATATAAAACTAAGGTTTTCAAGACACTGGAGATCAGGCAAGGAAGGGCAGTAATTCCTGAGAGATGGGAGTCAAAAGAGGCAGGCCCCGCGCCCACCCGCTTACGCACTGGTGAGTCTGCAGGCCGTGGCATAGGAGGGCAAACTGAGGCAAAGCCCAGCAGACTCCTCGAGTTGAGGAGATGGAACTGAGCGACGCAGGCAGGTAGAGCTCACAGGACAGAGTCCAGGAGAGGAAAGCCGGGCAGACAGAGCTGCGGAGATCATGAGGCCCCTCCAGCCCTCAGATTACCGATCAGAACACACAAGTACAGAAACTACCCAAGGATGGGGAAAACCATCTAAGAGGATCTGAAAACAGTCCCCGGAGCCGACACAGGGCTGGGTTAGTGCCTTCTCACACCAGCGGCCACGTTCCTTACACAGGTAATTCAGGGGCATTGGGCAGGACACTGAGAGGGTCTCAGGAGGATATGTCATCTGAGACAGAGCTCCACTCATAAAGGGAAAAACTGAGAGCAGAGCAAATGACATGGAATTGGTGTCAAGACAGACAAATCGATGGATGAGACACAAGAGAGTCCAGAATTAGAGCCACACATACATGGACAACTGATTCTGACAAAAGCACAAAGGCAATTCAGTGGAGAAAATTCAGTGGAAATTCTTCAATGGAAAACTTCAGTCTTTTCAACAAATGGTGGCAGAACAAATGGACATCCACTTGACAAAGAAGAAGAACTTGAATTAATACTTTGCATATTACAAAAAATAAGTCTAAAGGGATCATAGAATAAAATGTGAACCCTAAAACTATAGAACTTATAGAAGAAAACCTTTGTGGCCTTGAGATGGGCAAAGATTTCTTAGCTCTGACACCAAAAGCACAATCCTTAATGACAATAACTGATAAATTGGACTTCATCAAATCAAAACCTTCTGCTCTTCAACAAATGTGCTGGGCACCTGCATATCCACATTCAAAAGTGATCTTTTTACATCATTCACACAAAAATTAACCCAAAACAGACCAAAGACATAAATGAAGAGCTAAAACTATAAAACTCTTAGAAGAAAACATAGGAGTAAATCTTTGTGGCCTTGAGTTGGGCAATAGATTCTCAGATATGACACCAAAAGCACAAGCAACAACAACAACAAAATAAACACACTGGACTACATCAAAATTTAAAACCTCATGTTTCAAACGACGCCATCGAGAAAGAGAAAAGACTATCCACAGAATGGGAGAAAATATTTGCAAAGCCTATCTGCTAAAGGACTTATGTCACTAATGATAATAAATATATAAAGAACATTCAAAACTCAATAATAAGGAACAAACAACCCAACTAAGAAAACAGGCAAAAGACTTGAATAGATATTTCACTGAAGAGAATACACAGATGGCAAATAAGCACATGAAAAGATTCTCAATATCAAGTGAAAACTACAGTGCGGGCAGACTGCGCACCCCGGACAACGGCTAAAATGAACAAGCTGACGTACTAAGCTTAGCGAGCACGCGGAGCGGCTCCAGCCCCACACACGGAAGGAGGAAATGTAAAACGGGACGACCACTTTGGAAACAAGCTTGGCAGTTTCTTAAAAAGCATCTAACCATTCTACTCCCTGGTGTTTACTCAAGAGAAAAGAAAGCACGTGCCTATGGAAAAACGTGAACACACACGTTCCTAGTAGCTTTATTTGTGATAGTCCAGAACTGGAAACAACCCAGATGTTCATCAGCAAGGGAAGGATACACAAATTGTGTCCTATCCATAAAGCAGAATACTACTCAGCAAAAAAGCCAACTACTGATACAGACATGAGTGAACCTCAAAATAATGACACCGAGTGTAAGAAGTTAGACCAAAAAAGAGTATGTACTCTATGATTCCAAGGATATACAACTCTAGAATATGTAAATTAAACTACAGGGACATAAAGCAGACCAGTGGCTGCCTGGCATGAAGGGTGGGCTTCAGGAGGGGAGACAGACATTATGAAGGGGCACAAGAAACTTTCCGGGGTAATGGGTCTGCTCATTATCTGGATCATGGCAATGGTTTCCCGGGTATATACAGATGTCAAAATGCGTCAAGTTGTTCGCCTTAAAAATGTGCAGTTAATTGTAGGTCAATTATACTTCCAGAAAAGCTGTTAAAGAAATAGGACCATACCCTCGTTCTGAAAGTTAGTGTTTTTACCCAAAAATATATCAAGGGACATCTTTCCATGTCAATGCCTACAAAGAGTGCTCATCTTTGAAGAGCTGCATGGTTTCCATCATCCTGACACACCTTGATATGTTCAGTCAGTCTTGCAGAGGTGGGCATTTAAGTCGTTTCTCTATTTTTCTTCCCATGTAAAATTTTGCACACTTATAGGAAGATTTCTAAAGGACAGATCCCTAAAAATAGAATTGTCCAAAATTTTGGCTGATAATTGGCTGATAATGCCTGTCTTCCAAAAGAGTTGTCCCAATTTTATGTTCCTAAAATGAGAGAGTCCCTTTCCCTACACTCTGATAATACAGGCTATCATACTGCTTTTTCATTTCCGTGTACCTCATGGGCAAAAACTTTATTTCTTTGACTCAATTTGTATTTCTTTAACTATTAGTAAGGTTTAAAAATATTTTATAAAGGGTAACCCTGTGAATTTCTACATCTAGGAATCGCCAGCTAATAAGTTTTTTCCATCTTTCTATCACTTAATCTTCCTCTTATTTATTCCTAGGAGCTCTTTATATAATTATAATCCTTTGACCATTATATATGTGGTAAATATTATTCCCCATTTCATCACCTATAACTTTATTTTTAGATTCAAGTAGAGTAATTTAAACTTTCTACGTAGCCAAATCTGTCACTCTTTTTTCTTATTTCTTTGTAGTCCTCAAGTGACAGGCCGATGGCAAGTAACTCAGTGAAGCTGCCCCCTTACCCAGTGAGACTAGGTTCCTGTAGTTCTCCAGCATCACATCTCTGTACAGGTCCTTCTGGGCAGGCTCCAGCTGCTGCCACTCCTCCTGGGTGAAGTCCACAGTCACATCCCTCAACGTCACTGATTCCTGTAAGAGGAAACCCACAACCACTCACCGCAGGGCCCTCCTTACAGAGGTCTGGAGAAATGGCCAGAAAAGCTACGAGGATTTAGGGAGGGCAGACAGGACGTATCTGAAGTGATTTCAACAAGGTGCAGAGTTCTGCAGGGACCGACCACTCACAGTTTTCTCAGTGCCTGATTATATTGGGATGGTCCTCAGACAGAAACAAAACAGACAGGAGACTGTTGAGGGAAGAAAGTCACAGATTTGAGAAACAGAGAGAAGGAATCAAAGGCAAAATGCTCACAACCCAGTGAACGGACACACGCATCCGGAGCCCAGCCGCAGCAGAATCCTAGATGGAATCCAGTGGTTCAACACACTTTCCTGAGCCCCTGCTAAGCTGCAGGCGCTGAGCTGGGTGTTGGGATCCAGTCACGGAAGGTTCAAGAAGTAGTTCCTCGTGGGAGAGGCAGACGAAAACACATGCAACTGACCCACAATCTGGTCAATACCATTGTGAAGGTCTGAACAAAATCCTCCAGGCGCCGGCGCAACGGCAGCTTTAGGGGGCACCCAGGAAGAGTTGGGAAAGGTGACACCGAGTGCAGTCTGGGGAGAGAGAATTAGTGGGTGCATCCTTGGGGAGAGATTCAGCGGGGGCTGGGGTGGCGGGTGGGGGAAGCTTGGATCAAGACCTGAGGCTTACACAGCAGATCAGCCCACAGGGATGGTAAGCAGCTCACGTGGTGGAAGCGGAGACGCCGCCGGGCTGATGCCGCAAACCCTGCAGGTGAGATGGACATGGCCCAGGAGGTGGATGACGACGACGACGGTGAGGATGTCGACCAGAACGGTGACAAGAGCTATCACTTGTTATGCAGGTGCTATGTGCCAGGTCCTATTCTAAGTGCTTGCTGTGGGTTGAATTATGTCCTTCCCCAAATTCCCATGTTGAAGTCCTAATCCCCAGCTCCCCAGAATGGGACCTTATTTGGAAACGGGGCCATTGCAGAAATAACTAGTTAAGACGAGGTCGGGGGGCCGGCTGGTGGCCAAGTGGTTTAGTTTGCGCGCTCTGCTTCAGCGGCCAGGGTTTCGCTGGTTCGGGTCCTGGGTGCAGACATGGCGCCGCTCATCAAGCATGCTGAGGAGGGGTCCCACATGCCACAACTAGAAGGACCCACAACTGAAATATACAACTATGTATTGGGGGAATTTGGGGAGAAAAAGCAGGAAAAAAAAAAGGAAGATTGGCAACAGTTGTTAGCTCAGATGCCAATCTTTAAAAAAAAACAAGAACAAAACAATGAGGTCATACTGGAGAAGGGTGGGCCCCTAATCCAACATGACTGGTGTTCTTGTAAAAAAAAAAAAAAACTGGGCCACAGAGACACGCAGAGAGGGAGGACACGGTGTGAAGACAGGAGTTCTGTGGCCACAAACCAAGGAACTGCCTGCAGCGAGGAGAGAGGCCTGGAACTGAGCCTTCCCTAGCCTCTGCAGAGGGAGCAGGCCCGCCGCCACCTTGCGCTCAGATTCGGGCCTCCAGAACTGAGAGAGAACAAGCTTCTATTCTTTAAGCCACCCAGTCTGTGGCACTTTGTTACGGCAGCCTGAGCAGACTAATAAATCTGTCTGCTTACTATTACATCTCCAGTGTGCAGAAGGATGCCTGGCATACAGCAGGCACTCAATAAACAGCTCTGGAATGAATAAATGGATCCATGAGTAAGGATGGCTTGAAGATTAAATGAGTTAGTCCATGTTTGACACTCAGAACAATGCACAGCATACAGGAGGTGCTCAATAAGCGTCAGCTTCTGTTACTGACACTCACAGGTCCTTGGCTCTCACTAGAGCTCCCACCCAGGGACCCTGAAGCACGGCTCACTGTCCCTGAGCAGAGGCCTCACCTGCTGGCCGGTCCTTCCAAGGTCCCACATGCCCGGCGATAGTGCGCCCCTGCTGGCCTTGTCTGCCTCGTGGGCCACCACTTGATGAGGGAGCAGTCAGGCCAGTGGTGAAGAGTCCAGGCTCTGGAGCCTGGCAGCCTGCAATGAAATCCTGGCTCTGCCCCTCCACGGCTGTGTTTCCTTAGGCAACTGTCTTAACCTTTCTGAGCCTCGTTTGCTCAATGGGCTTCATAATGACAATGTCCCCCTCAGTAGCTGTCGTGCGGGTGAGATGAGGTAATGCATATATGGTTCCAGAGCTGTGTGGAGTAAGCTCCCCATGAACATCAACTACTGCTATTATCATTTGATTAATTTTGACATTTCACATATATCTTACATACATATATTTATTTATTTTTATTATATTATTATTATTTGATTCTTTGGCCCAATATATCCTTTGGCCAGCCCAGCTATTATTTTTTTAAACCACTGACTGGAGGAAGGATCAACATACAATAAGTGGAACACACTTCACGCATACAACTTGGTAAGTTTGACATAAGTGTACACCTGTGAAACCATCGCCACAATCAAGGCCATAAACTTATCCATCACCTCCCAAAGTTTCCTCCCGCCCCCTTCATTTCTTATTTTATTTTAATTTTTAAAATGTAATAATTCCTTCTGAAAGTCTTCCCTAAGTAGGCCCCACTTCAATTAACTCACTCAATAGAATACTGACTGAGCAGGTTCCATGCACCAAGCCAGGGCTGGCACCAGGAATGCACTGAAAACAAAACAGTCCTGGGGCCCACACCTTACAGCAAGGACGCTGGGAGGGCAGGCGGCAGGGGGAGGCTGGGAGGGCAGGGGATGCTGGGAGGGCAGGGGGATGCTGGGAGCACCGGTGGCAGGGGCACCCCTTCTCTGCCGCGTCGGGGAGATTCCCCTAGATGTGGGTTTAACCCCTAATGTGCCGAACCCCTCTGAGTTCTTTGCATGTACATGTCCGAGGCCACTCATTCTAGCGCCTCATCTATTTCAGTTTCCTATCTAACGGCACAAACCAATAAACCACAAGGGAAACCTCACCAAATTCCAAAGAGCTGAAATCAGATAGGCTCTATTTTTTTTTACCTATCAGAAAGTAATTACTGTACAACTGATTAAGAAAAAAAAACTTAAACCAAAAATTCCAACCACATTGAAATAAAAACAATTACAAGTCCTTCTAAACAATGTAGGTAAAAGAAGAAATCAAGACAACGATCACAGCAAGTTAAAAATGAGGACAACATGGTGCAGCCCCTTTGGAAAATAGTTCAAGAGTTTCTTAAATGGTTAAAGAGAGTTATCACATGGCCCAGCAATGCCACCCCTAGGTCTACACCAAGAGAACTGAGAACACCCACCCAAACAAAAAACTCCCACACTAGTGTTCACCGTGGCACTGCTAAAAATAACCAAAAAGTGGAAGCAACCCAAATGTCCATCACCTGGTGACTGGATAAATAACATGTGATCTGTCAATACAGTGGAATATTATTCAGCCATGAAATGGAATGAAGCTCTGACATAGGCTACAACATGGGTGAATCTCGAAAACAAGATGATCAGTCAAAGAAGCCAGACGCCAAAGATGACATAGCGTATGATTTCATTTGTATGAAATGTCCAGAATAGGCAAATCTAGAGACAAGAAATAAATCAGTGGTTGCCAGAGGCTGGGGGTCGACAGGGGAAAATGGCAGTGAGTGCTAATGGGTACACATTTCCTTTTGGGGTTTAAAGCATTTAAAAATGCTTTAAAATTGTGGTGATGGTTGTGCAACTCTGCAAGTATAGCAGAAACCCACGAATGGTACACTTTGGGGCACGTGGGGTGTATCTCAATAAAGGTGTTAACAAGGACAGGACAAACCAAAACTCACAGCTAAGTGAAGTGACACATTTAGACACTAAAATAAATTCCAGGTGGATACAAAAGATTCAAAAGTTCGCTGTTAACATCCAAGTGATAAATGGAGAGAAGGAAGCAAACAGAGGCGCTGCGTGGCCTGTGGACGGAGAAACCCTTTAGAGCTTAAAGACAAAGGAGGACACCACAGAATCAACAGGTTCGATTTTAAAAATATGGAATGCTTCTGTACTTAAAAGTATGAAAGAAATAAACAGGAAACCTGGGAAGAATATTTGCCACAAGTATTTACACACACACACACACACTGTAGAGTCTTTAAGAATGCTGAGATTTCTGTGCACTGGCAAAGCACAAAGATGACTTACCCACAGAAATGGCTAATAACCATTTTCTAAAAATCAAACCTCACTAATAATACAAACAGTGCTACTGAAAAAGAGATCATGTGACACCCTTTGTCACCTACCACACTCAGGGTTTATACCATTTGTCATTTATATCCATTTATCATTTATATCCAACGTGCAGCATAAACACCCAACAATGGCAGCATAAACCGTGAGGCTGGTGGGAAGACAGACTGCCCCAACCAACTGGGCAAGTACTATGGAGACTTATGAAAGGCCCCCAAAATATCCAGCCCAGGGTTCCTCTTCAAGGAATCACTCCAGAAGAAATCATACAAAATGCACGGAAAGACTTATGCCCACCCGTGTCCCTCGTGACATTATTTAAAACCACAAATAAGTGGAAACAAATGTGCAACAATAAGGGAACCAGTAGGTGAAGCAGGGATGGCCACTAGATGAAATCTTTATGTAGCCTTTAAAATGGACGTTACCGAGGAGTTTTTAACCATCTGAAGAAACGCTTAGGACGAAATCTTCGATGAAAAAGCAGGATATGAAATTGCTTAGCCAGAGCAATTCTTATTTTTGCAAAACAACACACATCCAGGGAAAGAGACAAACCTTCGAGCGTGGCTGTTTTCTGGGGTAAGACCACAGTGACTCTGAATCTCTTAGCTGGTTCTTCTGGGTTTTCTGAGCTTTTCACAACAATTATGCATTTCCACACCTACCAGGAATTTTCTTTTATGATTTACAGTATCAAAAAATGATTTTAGGGGGCCAGCCTTGTGGCCGAGTGGTTAAAGTTCCACGCGCTCCCCTTTGGCGGCCCAGGGTTCGAGGGTTTGGATCTCCACTCATCAGCCATGCTGTGGAGGCATCGCACGTACAAAGTAGAGAAAGGCTGGCACAGATGTGAGCCCAGGGCTAATCTTCATCATGTACAAAAAAGAGGAGGACTGGCAACACATGTTAGCTCAGCGCGAATCTTCCTCACACACACAAAAATAAAATTTAAAAATTTAAAAAGATGATTTAAAACAAAGTCAAACCCACCAATACTGGACGAACGTTTGGGCACACTGACTACGCAGCCAAAACTAAGGCAGGGGAAACACCTACTGCATACAGCTCGATGAAAAAAACCCACGAGATCAAAATGGCAGAGCCAAAACTTGGCCAATTTTTAAAAATAACAAGCAGAGAAGGGAGACAATAAATGAAGACAGAAACACCCACATGGTTATCTCTGGGTAGAGGGACTAGGGGTGAATTATATTGTCTCACCTACACTTCACTGGATTTTCCCCATAATTTATAAGAAGCATTTATACCTATTTTTTATTATGAAATATTTCTTGCATAAAAGAAAGTTTAAAGAAGTTAAAGAAAAACGCAACCACAGCCATACACGAACCACCCACTAAAATGTCATAAAACATCTTGGGAGAGCCGAGGGCGCGAGTGCCCACCCCAGGCCGCTCCTCCCTCTGCCCGGAGGCGGCCACTGCCTTGTGTGCAGCCTGTTCCAGCGCTGGTAACTTCATCACACATGTGGGTGTGCAGAAGGGACATTCAGTGCTGTCTGCCCGCTGTCACGCGTCCAGCAGGGGCCTTTTGCACACTTGATGTACAGTGTCTAAGCCACCACCTCCCAGGTGCCCACCAGGGCAGGACTGGTCACTCCCAAGCTGTCCTTTCCCCCACAGCTGACTGAAACCAATGTCAGGGCACTGTCCTCCCGCATCAGGGCAGACACAGCCCCTGGGAGAGCGGGCCAGGGCCGTGGGCCCTGGAGGGGTCAGGGAGTCAGAGGGTCATCCTGGGCTGGAAAGGACTGTGAGAGGGCGACATGACTCACCAGGGCCTCGTCAGTCAGCAGCTGGGCGGCCATCCCTCCACTGCCCACGGTGACCGGGGGACGGGCAGGCTGTGAGGGGCAGAAAGAGGGAGGCACGGTGAGACCAGGCCTCGGCCCGCCTCAAAATGCGGACAGGACAGACAGAGCAGGATATGCACACACATTAATAGCAGACGCTTAGGGTGCTTATCACACGCAAGGCACTTGACAAACATCTCTCATTTAACCCTCCTAACGCCCCTACATGGTGCGTATGAGTTCCACCCACCCCATTTCACGGATGAGGAAACTGAGGCCCAAAGAGATGAGCCACTCGCCCAGGATTAGACAGCAGGGATTGGAGCTGGGCTGAGTGCATCTGGGCCCATGTGCTTAACCACTAGGCTGCAATGTCTCTCAAATGCATGTGCGGACACCACACACGTATACGCCCAACACACACGCAAGTGCGCACACACACATACTGCCAGTCCCACAGACTGTGGGAGCGACAGGACCCGCTGCCCGCCCCTGGCTGTGAGTACCAGCCCCAGGCCCCACCAGATGCCCCAAGACTGTCCCCACCCCCACGGGCGCCTGCCCACTCCTCACAGGGTTCCTGTGAGGCTCAACCCTGCACACAGTCAGAGCTCAGCACACCCCTGCTGCTCTGGATCACGTTGCTGTCAGCTGAGCACGTTGCGAAGAGCAGGACGCAGTCGCCCAGGGCTCCCAGCAGCAGGGGGGCGCCGCAAAGTGACACGGACTCTCCAGGGAGATGCCCCCCAGCCCGATTCCCTCCCAGTCCTCTGACACGCTCAGGAGAAAAGGCTCCATGGCAGCCAGCAGGTCCTCACACCCCCCCCCGCCCCTCCCTACTCTCCCCTTTGAGCAAAAGCAGAGCTCAGGCCCCCGACATAGGCAGACCATGCGATCTAGTGAGAATTACCTGGCTTTATTTCCATTTGTTTTACTGCTTGTCTCCTTTTTTACAGCGATGCCCAGCTTCCATTTACAGCAGTCACACAGAGTGCTCTTCTAAACCAAGCTGATTTAATTAAAAAATAAATAAACCAGTGAGCCAATTTAAATAAAAGACAAAGTAAAACACAGGACAAGTGGCACAGGTTAGGGCAAATTCTTGGAGTTTAAGACATGGTTCAGATCTGGCTCCACAGTGACCTGCCAGGACTTGCATGCCTCCCACGACAGGAAGCTCACTACCTGTGTCACCAACACCTCTGACTGGAGACAAGTTTTCCTTTTGCTGTAAGCCAAAATATGCCTTCCTAAATCTCCAACCCCTCAGGGTCAGCTGGAAAAACCCCAGATCTCACCTACACAAAAGTCCTTTAGCTACTGCGCCATTTCTCAAAGTGCCAGAATCCCTAGGGATGCTTATTAAAATATTATTCAGAATATACATTCCTAGGCCCCTGCCCAGTCCCTCTGAATCAAACCATCTGGGATGAGGCCCCGGAATCAGAATTTCCAAACAATTGTGATGATTCTGATCTTCTTAAAGTCAAAGAAGCGTCTTTTTGAAGCCAAATAGCCCCAACTTTCATAAGCAAAATGCTAAGTGATTTTCACTGCTTGGGGGCATCCACAAGGACAGGCTGGCAGAAGCCGCTAGAGCCAGGGTTCTCCCCCAGGGGGCGATCGGCCCGCAGGAGACATCTGGCAATGTCTGGAGACATCTGTGGTTGCCACAGCCTGGAGGAGAGGTGCAGCTGTGGGCATTTAGTGGGTGGAGACCAGGGATGCTGTTAAACAACCTACAATGCACAGGACAGTCCCCACAACAGAGGGTCAACAGCGTGGAGGTTAAGAAGTCCCCTTGTAGATGAGATGGCTCTTAGAGCTGGGGGCTCGTGTCCCTCCCCACTTCACGTCTGCACACTCCCCAGCACCATGCCTGGCCTGCAGTCAGCCCTCAGTGAACATGTCCTCCAGCTTCAAACACCCCAGTGGCTTCCCATGAGAAGCATGACAAATCACCCCATCCTCACCACTGGACTTTCCCACTCCCGCTCTGCTCCCCCTGGAACGCTGGGCCCCAGGCACACTGGCCTTCGCACCTGCTGTTCCCCCTGCCAGGAAACCTCTTCCCATGGCTGGCTCCTTCACATGTCAGCTCAGATGTCACCTCCTTGGAGAAATCTCCCACCTCCAGGCTCCTGAGTAAGGGCAGCACCTGGCCCCCACCCCCACCCCCTATCTTCCTGCAGCACACCTCATTATCGACAACTGTCTTTTTACAAAGATGTTTTCAAGTTTGTCATCTGTCTTCCCTCCACCAGAATAGAAGCCTCGGAGGAGCAGAGACAATGTTTTTGGATTGTGTCTCTGGCATCTGGGACAATGTCTGGCACACGGGAGGCGCCCAAACAGCGAGATGAATGAATAAACAAGCCAACTTCTAGCACTGGCCAGGACACAAGGACAGGGGCTCCACACACAGCTGAAGGGACAAGCGTCCCTCAACCTTTCTAGAAAGTGGGCTGACAATATGCAAAGCCCATAACCCAGCCACCCTGTTCCCAGGACTCTGCCCGGAGCAACCAAAGCTCCACGTAAAACGTTATACATGGAAAAAAGATGCTTATTGTAACACTGTTCCAAGAGGCAAAAATGAACCAACCAACAATCATAAAAAACCTGGAAACAAAGTAAGTACCCAACAGCAAAGGCACAGTCACATAAATGGCAGGCACCCATTCTAGGAAATTTCAGGCCGCCTCTAGAAAGCAGGAGTTAGTCTGACGTCACAGATACATCACGTAGGTAAGTAAGAAAAGCAAGTTGCCCAGCTTCACACATACCTTTCACCCTCTGTGGGAAAACAACCCAACACACGTGGGGGGGCGGGGGGGTGCTCTGCGCGTGTGTCCAGGCCTGGGGAAGGCCGTGGAATGGTGGAATGAGGGACACCAGCTGGTGTCTGGAGGGCACGCAGTGGGAATGCGAAGGGGGACTTATTAATGTTTTCCCTTTGTATTCTTTTGTTTCCCTGGGTGCAGTGACTTCAGATTACTGTCACACTTTTTTAAACAGAATTTAATCTAAAAAAGTGTATTCTTTCTGGACTAACCGTCTCTGACTCTTCTCCCTGCACTGGGAGGCCAGCGACAATGGCTCCTCTGGCCAGACGTGGATGCCACCAGAGCCGACTAACTCAGGAGGCAGAGGGAGCCCACGGCCCCTGGTACCTTAGTGGCCCAAGAGAATGTCTTAATTTCTTCTAAAATCATAAGAAAAAAAGGTGACCCTAAACCACCCTGGGTTACATTTGTCTTTACAGCAATACAATCGCAAACTATTTTTTTTTAATGGAAAAAGGAGCCCATGAAGGCAACGAAGTCACCACAGTCCGGAGAGTGACATGTGCACGGGGCTGGACATGTGCACATGTGACAGCTGAACCCGGTGTGGCCTGCGATCTGTGTGGCTGCAAAGCCAGTGGCTTCCTCATTTCTCTTCCTCCCCTGAGCTTCCTGGCATTTCCTTCCTTCCATTGTTTCTAACTTGAGATTGCCACGGGGAAACAATCCTGCAGCTTTACCTCAGAGAGCGGAAAGGAAAAAAGATTTCCCGTTTGTCTGGTGGTCAAGGGTGAGGGTTCTGGAACCGGGATGCCTGGGTGTGGAGTTGGATGATTCACTTAAGGACTCTGAGCCTCAGTTTCCCCAACTATAAAATGAGGACGAGGGGGGCCTACCTTGGAGTTACTATAAATGGAGGCCTATAAATGAGGTTGTCCCAGCAAAGTGCACCGAATAGTGCTTCGGGCACCCAATACACACTGTCTAAACAAACCAAGCCCTGGTCAGGAAGGGTAGGGGACAGTGACCCTTCAGGGGACGCTGACCCCCACTTTAAGAAGGCTCTGTGCGAGGCGAGAGAAGAAACAACCCCCAGCCCCACATCCTGTCACCACACACTTCCTGCCCTTCCAGGCCCCCAGCCCCTCTAGAGGCTTCTATGGGCCAGGGAAAGCTGTGAGGGGAGGAAGGGGCTGGGGGCTGGGGGTCCCACACTAGGACCCACGCGGGCAGGATGGCAGGCAGCTCTGCTGGGCCCACCTGTCCAGGTGTACACAGTCTTTCACACATGTTTGGGAGGGGCACACCCAGACGCACCCACACACAGTCACACAAACACCCAATAACACGCGAAGAGAGAGACACAGGTGGACACACAGAGACAGGTAAAGACACGGACTGGGGTGGACCCTGGGAGAGATACACCCCCACGCTCACAAACACACTCACACCCAGAGACAGAGACACACAGAGGAAAGACTACACACAGGTGGACACCCGGAAGGCACCCTCACCCTGACACCAAGGATGGAAATAAAGGCAGACACACACACACACAACCAGAGACACAGACACAGTCAGTCACCCAGAGATACCCGCAAGAGACAGGCAAAGACCAGACACAGGTGGACACCCAGAGAGACACCTGCCACAGAGACACCACAGAGAACAAGACAGAGAGGCACACACACTCACACGAAAAGGCAAGGACACAGGGGCCACCCAGACACACACACGCAGAGACGGCCGAAGCCGGATCTCGGCCCAGCAGTCACAGGCACGCACAGACCCGCCTTCTCCCCGACACATCGGACCAGGTCGGCGACAGCTCTCTCTGTTCCTCTCCCGGCCCGCACACCCTCTCTGAGCCCGGGCCCGCACGCCCTCCCTCCAGCTGGCACCCGCTCCCCCGGGCCCGCACCCCAGCTCTCCGGCCCGCACCCCACTCCTCGGGCCTGCGCGCCCTCCCCGCGCCCACACGCCCCTCACCTGGGACAGCCCGCCCCTCCCCTCTCCTCCCGCCCCGCCCCTCCCCCGCCGCGGACTCACCGCGCCGCTCAGCCAGGACAATGACCGGCGCCCGCGAGGCCCGCCCGCCCACACTGCGCCTGCGCGGAAGGCGCCGGACTACACTTCCCAGAAGCCCGCGCGCCGCCGCCTCGGCTCGGGCCGCCTCCGAGTGAAACCCAACAGACCGAGCAGAGCCGAGTGGAGCCGATCCCGAGACCCGACCGCGCCCATCTATCTCCCAGAGGTCCCCGCGGCACCGCAGCCAAGGGGCGGGGTTTGTGGGGGGATTGACAGGGAGGGCGGGCAAGGGGGTAAGGGGAGAGGGAGAAGGGTTGGGGGTGGGCACAAACAGTGGAGGGACACACGACAAATAATAAATGTGCAACTGAAATTTCACAATGTTGTAAACTATCATAATCTCATTTAAAAAGAAGAAAAAAATGTTATACAGTAGGCATCTTTTTCATTCAGCATAATTCTCTAGAGATTCATCCAAGCTGTTATACGTATCAATAGTTTGTCACTTTATTGCCTGGTGTTATTCCATGGTATGGATGTGCCACAATTTGGGTACCACATCTGGGATGCTTCCAATCTGAGGCTATTCCGGGTTTTTTTCCTTTTCTTTTCTTTCCATTGTGGTAAGAACACTTAACATGACACCTACCCTCAAATTTTTAAGTGCATAATACAGTATTGTTAACTACAGGCACGATCTTGTACAGCGAATCTCTAGAACTTAATCATTTTGCATAGCTGAAACTTCATACCCGTTGAACAATAACTCCCATTTCCCCCTCCCTACCACCCCCTGACAATCCATTCTACTCTCTGCGTCTATGTTTTTGACTATTTTAGATACCTCGTATAAACGCAGTGTTTGTCTGTGTCTGCCTTATTTGACTTAGCACAGTGTTCTCAAGGTTCACCCATGTTGTTGCGTATGGCAGGATTTCTTTCTTTTTTAAGGCTGAATCATATTCCATTGTATATTATACCATATTTTCTTTATCCATCCATCTGTCAATGGACATTTAGGTTGCTTCCACATGTTGGCTATTGTGAATAATGCTGCAGTGAACCAAGAAGTGCAAATATCTATTCGAGATCCTGATTTCAATTCTTTTGGATAAATACCCAGAAGTGAGATTGCTGGATCATATGGTATTTCTATTTGATTTTCTGTAGGAAACTCGATACTGTTTTCCATAACGGCTGCATCATTTTACATTCCCACAGCAGTGTCCAAGGATTCCAGTCTCTCCACACCCTCACCAACACTTTTGTTTTTTTGATGATAGCCATTCTAACAGGTGAGGGGTGATGTCTCTTTGTGGTTTTGACTTGCATCTCTGTGATGGTTAGTGATGTTGTACACCTTTTCATATACTAGTTGGCCATCTGTATGTCTTCGGAGAAATGTCTATTCTATTCAAGTCCTTTGCCCACTTTTTAGTCAGGCTTTTTTTAGCTAATGAGTTGAAGGAGTTCCTTACATATTTTGGATATTAACCCCTTATCAGATATTTGGTTTGCAAATATTTCCTCCCATTCTATAGGTTGCCCTTTCACTGTTGTTTCCTTATTATGGGTTATTGTGTGAACATAAATCTTCATTTCTGAGGAATAAATGCCCAGGAGTGCAATTTCTAGATTGTATGGTATTTGCATTTTTAGTATTTTTTAAAAACAAACTGCCAAACTATTTTCCAGAGTGGCTGTACCATTTTACAGTCCTACCAGCAATTTATGAAATATACAGTTTCTCCAAATCCTTGCCAATATTTGATGTTGCCATTATACATTTTTTTATTTTAGCAATTTTAGAAATGTGTACTGACATCTCATTGTGGGGTTTTTGTTTCTATTAACAGACTTTATTTTTCAGAACAGTTTTAGGTTTACAGAAAAATTGAGCAGATAGTACAAAGAGTTCTCATATACCCAGCTTCCTGCACACAATTTCCCCTATTATTAAACACTGGCATTAGTGTGCCACATTTGTTAGAATTAATGAACTGATATTAACACATTATTACTAACTAAACTCCATAGTTTACATTAAGGTTACTCTTTGTGTTGTATTCTTCTGTGGGTTTTGGAAAATTCATAATAACATGTATCCACCATTACAGCAGCATACAGAATAGTTTCACTGCCCTAAAAATGCCCTGTACTCCATCTATTCATGCTCCTCCATCTTCATGAGCCCCTGGCAACCACTGATATTTTTCCTGTCTCCATAGTTTTGTCTTTTCCAGAACATCATATAGTTGGAATCAAACAATACATAGCGTTTCCAGACTGGATTCTTACACTTAGCATTTAATATGCATTTAAGATTTCTCCATGTTTTTTTTTCCCAGCTTGATAGCTCATTTCTTTTTATCACTGAATAATAATCGACTATAGGTACCACAGTCTGTTTATCCATCCACCTATTAAGGGACATCTTGGTTGCTTCTGTGGGGGATCGGGATTGGCCACCTCAACATATGTCTTTTTGGCTTGCTTATTTTTGAGAACAAGACTCTGAAAGAAACTTTGACCTACCCCCAACTGCCTAAAGAATTTAAAATAGAATGGCCTGTTCCAGGAAGGAGCTAATACCATAAGATAACTGTAATGTAAAACATGTCTCTCAGGTCACATTGTCTGTAGTTGGCCCATTTTCACTTCCATCTCCATGGAAGTTGCCTTCTACCCCCTTGAAGTCCCAAACCACTGCCCCCAACGTCCTCCTTTGTCTTTAGCTGAAGATGATATTTAAGCTGACAGCTCAGCCATTTTAGCGAGTTACCCAATTTCCTGGGTTTCTCCCATGTATACATGTTATAAAGCTTTGTTTGATTTTCTCCTGTTATTCTGTCCCATGTGAATTTAATTTGTAGCCCAGCCAGAAGGACCTAGAGAGGGTAGAGGAATTCTCTTCTCCAACTCTTCCATAAAACTTCTATAAAGATCCGTGTGCAGCTTTCTGTGTGGAAATGTTTTCAACTCGTTTGAGTAAATACTCAGGAATGTGATTGCTGGATGGTATGGTAAGACTCTGCTTAGCCTTGTAAGAAACTGCCAAACTGTCTTCTAAAGTGCATTCCCACCAGCAATGAATGAGAGCTCCCATCACCCCACATCCTCACCAGCATTTGATATTGCGAGTGCCTTTTGGATTTTTATCATTTTAATAGGTGTGTAGTGGTATCTCCTTGTTGTTTAAATTTGTGGTTCTCTAACAACATATGATGGTGAGCATCTCCTCCTATGTTTATTTCTCATCTGTGTGTCTTTGGTGAGGTGTTTGTTCAGATCCTTTGCCCATTTTTCAATTGGGTTGTTTTCTTATTGTTGAGTTTTAAGAGTTCATTGTATATTTTGGACAAAAGTCCTTTATCAGACATGTATTATGTCCTTCACCTGTCTACAAAATGTAGACAATTCTACATTTGTATGAGAACTCAAAGTCCCTGGGGGATGGAGGAGGCATAAGATGGATGGGCCTGAGTCCCTGAGACACTGAATGGAGCAGAGCCTCCAGCCCTTATCACCTGTGATAAACTTTTACTGGGATACGAGACTGCACTTTCTTCTTAATTTGCATTAGAGACCTTGAAATCTGGTGTTATAAGCTGACTTGTATCCCCCCCAAATTCATATGTTGAAGCCTCGACACCCAGTACCTCAGAATGTAATCATGTTTGGAGATAAAGTCCTTAAAGAGGTGACCGAGTTAAGACGTGGCCACTAGACTAGGCTCTAATCCAATCTGACTGATGTCTTTATAGGAAGAGGAGATTAGGACCCAGAGACATGGAGAGGGATGACCAAGTGAATTCACAGAGAGAAGGCAGCCATCTACACGCCAAGGAGAGAGGCCTCAGGAGAAACCAATGCCCCAACATGTTGATCTTGCCTCTAGAACTGTGAGAAAACAAATTTCTGTGTTCAAGCTGCCCAGTCTGTAGTATCTTATTATGGCAGCCCTACCAAACTGATGCACTGGGGGAGGGGCAGCCAGAGGCTCTTCCAGAGCTGCCAGAGCCCTGGGGTCCTGTGGGTCTGAAGTTCCTCTTCTGGGCACACTCACCATCCCAGCCTCACCCAGCCACTTCCAGCTGGGGCTTCCATTCTCTGCCTTTGCTCTTCCTTCCCAGAAAGAGGAGCTCTGGGAACCACAGGGTACCAAGGCAGTGTGTGTGTAAAGAGTGAGTGGGCCCAAGGTGAGGCGGACAGGGAAGGGCTGCAGCCTGAGCCTCTGTCTCTTCTAGAACATCTGGATCAGGACCCAAGATTCCAGCCAGCAGCGTGGGAGTTGGGTGATGCTGAGGCGGGCCTGTGTGTCCAGGTGTCCTGCACCTCCCTCCATCCCCCAGCATATCTTGTCTGATGTGTTCCCAGCTCACAGGCACTGGTTCTGTGATGAGACTCATTTTTCTGATCCAGTGGCCACAAATGACTCAGCCCAAAAAGTGCCAGAGGAGACCCAGAGCCAATGCGTCTGCTCAGGGACCCCCTGAGCATCAGAGATGCCCAGATGAGGAATACAGGGACATACTACTTCTAGGGAGAGAGAGGGGACCTACTGTCAGAGCATTACCAATATTACCAATATGACGGGCTCTCAGTGCCTGTGCCAGGTATGGACTTGGTTTCTGGGAGGACACAAGGGATGGAGTGTGGGCTCCCCCTCTGTGAGCCAGGCTAGTATCCCATTCACGAGGATTCCATGACCTAATGATCTGATGACCTAATCCCCTCCCAAAGACCCCACCTCCTAATACCATAACCTTGGGAATTAGGTTTCAACACGTGAACTGGGGTAGGGGAAGGAAGACATATTTAGTCTATAGCACCATCCCTGTGGAACAAGGGGAGCTCTGGCCCTGGG